GCTTGTAACACTCCAAAGAGAAAGGAAAACTTGAAATCGCATCATATGACCCCTTTAAACCCCAACTAAACAATCCAAAGGCAACAGTAGCAAGGAACCCAAACTTTATCAGGTGACAAAACAGTTAATCTTTGGAAAATGTGGCTCAAATCTTTATGCAAAGCCTGTTTTGTAGTGTTAATAATAATAATAATAATAATAAATTATACCTGTTTAAAGGCCAGTTCACACCAACACAAATGTACGGACTGACAGACTAAAAGAAAGTGTGATTAGATTTTCTGACAGTCATAGTTTTACATAACAATATTCATCTTGGTGTGATCAGGCCTTTAAACTTGTCACCATGATGTTAGGGTTTACAGTTACTTGCCTGTTGTGATTTAATTTGGCTAGAATGTTCTAGTTCTAGGTATTCTGAGTGGTTTTAGCATGTTGATATATGGTTGCTAGGGTGTTTTGGGTGGTTGCTAGGTTGTTCTGGTCTGTTACTGGCTCAAAAGAGTCTATCCCCAAGTCTCTTGATATCCCTCCTTCAATATCAGTCTGTGGGATTTATATTTATAGCCAGATATTTATTTCCCTACAAAAAGAACACAAAGTGCTGCTCAGGGACTTCCAGGAACACTTTTGAGTGATCTGTTTTTTTTTAACTAAAATGAGTCAGACTTCTACTTATCTATGTTTAGGGAACTGCTTCACTGCTGAACTGTTTATTTTATAATGAGCCTGATACAAGAGAGGAGCTGGAAATTACTGGGGAAAATGATTGAGTATAAGATGTTTTTTTTTTTTTACTTTAAAGCTGTAACATCCGTTTCTACGTTTTCAAGAAAATCTGGTACATGAATGTAATCTGCTGCTTGTTTGCTGTTATGTGGCAGCCATATCTGTCTTCTGCTCAGCACACACACACACACACACACATACACACACTCCCGCCAGATGACATTTCCCTTCTGCAGATCAGTCTCTGACACTGCTGACATGGATAATTAATAGCCCATAATCCCCTGGACGCTAACTCCAAACATCACTTATCAAATGAGCTGCTAAAGAGTGAAATTAAATTTCCAAACATTAGGAGAAATTAAATCATCAACAGTTGGCATCAATTTGTGCGTTATCCAATCTGTTTAATGAGGGCATGTGGATTACCATTTTCTTTTTAGTTTTTTTTTTAAAGAGAATTTGTTATCAAGATTATTGTACATATTTTTAAGAAAATAATATTGTTTCATGAAAAGTAAATATATATATTTATGGCTGGTAAATGTTCTCATTGTCAGGTTTAGCTAATTATTCATTCAGATCTTGAATGGTGGACAGTTAGAGGATGAGAAAATAAAATTGTATTTCACAGTCCCTGGAAGTTTTTTCTTTTTCTTTATCACAAATGCTTGTTACATTCGCTCTAAATTATCTTTGATGCTATTCGTGTTTATGTGTTTGTTTTCATGGGAATTCTAGCCAAGTGAATTAATTAAATAATTGAATTATTAGATTAGGTTTAAATGTAGAACGTATAATGCAGACAAAAAACATATGAGATAATGATATACACATATTCCATGTATGCAGGATCAGAAATTAACATTTCTATTAAGGGGTAATATTAGCTCCCTTGAACTGATTTCCAAGGACATTTTTTACCTTTTCAAAGGTTGCATTTTGGCAAAAACCACCATTATAATCACTGAAGCTGTCTACACTCTGAAATACTCTTTACTATTTTCTGCACTTTGTTGTTTATGATGATGAGAGAATTTGCAAATGCAGATTCAGAATTCAGTGAGTACACAGACTCAAAAACTTGTTCTCCACGATGACAAATCAAAACACTTCTGATTGTGTATGATTGGTTATTATGCTCAAAGCTGCAACCCGTGCATAAAAAGCTACTGTAAACGTAATGCCGCATTCGACTCTTTTCATTCATTTCACATTTCACTTTAATCAGGACAGATGTAATAGATCTAGCTTAATTCTGCAGGGGCATTTTTTGCCCCGTTATCTTGAATTTAGGGGGCATTTTTTCTTTTTGGTTACATCGTTGCCCCAAATCCCCAATAACTCCCAACACTGCATTACATATAAATCTGTATATATTTTCAATGAGCACCATGGACAGCGGCGGATCATTTATTTTACAGTGGGGTCCAGAAGTCTAAGACTACTAGTAAAAAATGCTTCTATTTTGCATTTTTATAGTTTAATAAAATAGAGCATTGCATTTTGAGTGAAAATTGTTGAATTTAAAAATGAACATGAATTTCAGAATGTCTAATTAGGTACTTGGTTTGAATAACAACAACAACAACAACATTAGAGCTCCATGAACTCCACAAGTTTGTGTGAAATCATGTCATTCAGCATGATTTGTATTAGATGCTGTTTGAAACATTCTCAAGGGTGTTTAGATGGACACCGAAAAATCTGCATATTTGATCAGAGACCTAAAAATGTTGGAGAATCTTAAATATGTATAATTTTTTTAAACACCTTTTATTTATTTATTTTCGTTCTTAAAAATTCAGCTTATTTAAAGGGTAAAATCATTATTTCACTGTGGTCTTTTTTTTTTTTTTGTAGCCCGCTGTATGTGAGGCATCTTTTGGCAGATTGATTAACAGGCATTGACAAGATTCAGCGCCGGAGGATCATGATCTGATCACACACACACACACACACACACACACTTGCAGAACATCCCCGGAGACTGAGAGTTGACAGATTTGACGTGGCTGTCCTCACTGACTGCTTTTGTGAATGTATACATCAGAGACAAGATGAGATCAAGCTATTGCGTGTTTGTATTTCTGAAGCGATTGTAGTGTGGACTGCATTATGAATGGATCTAGGTTATGCACAAACTCAATGCAGATGTTGGCAATGATGATTCAGGTAGAGATTTTGTTGGCTGTGTAGATGACAAAACATGTTTGTGTATGCATACAGCAGTTGACAATATGTGTGTGTGGAGGGTCATATTCATATCACATGCAAATCATATGCAAATTCCTGCAGAGTGAAGTCATTGTGTAAACCAGTTCTCTCTCTCTCTCGCTCTCTCTTTCTCTCTCTTTGTGTGTGTTTTATTGCATCCTCACATCTAAATTAATCTTTATATGTAAAGATACGTATTAATCTTTATATACTTTATATACAAATAAATTTTTATAAATGTTACCAGTCAAATGTTTGGGATAATTAAAAGGTTGCATTTATTTGATCAAAAATACAGTAAAAACAGTAAAATTTTGCATTTTTGTTCTATGACAAATTAATTAGATTACTGTGGTTCCTTAAAGTAACAGATGAAACATCAAGGCATGTGCAAAGCTGAAAGATGCAGGCCAGAGTGCAGACTGATGGCAGTTTCTCTATGGCTGCTGACACACTGACTGTAGCTTTGATTGACAGTTATGCAGCGATGACTCAGTACCTCTAAGTGCACTTTTTTTCTCCTTTTTTTTTATCTGTTATTATTTACTTGTTTACTTTCAGAGAAAAGTTGCCCCTCGGGCAACAATGTGTCTATGAAAAACATATGAGTCTTCAGATACACACACGCACACACATGCTCATACCCACACACCAAGTGTTAAAGAGATAATCGCATCAGTCTACTTACATTTCCTCTCTGCAAAAGTCGATCCAACATCAATGATCCAATTAGAGAGAGAGAGTAGATAAGACGCTAAAAGTAATATGATGTAGGCTACACCTATGGCAGTTGCAGGCTCAAGAGAGTGTGGTTGTTGTCTAGAAGCACCCTTAAAGGGTTAGTTCATCCAAAAATTAAAATTAGGTTGTTTTTTACTCACCCCCGATGCATCCTAGGTGTATATGACTTTCTTCTTTCAGACGAATCCAGTCTGAGATAAATAAAAAATTGTCTTTGATCTTTCAGGCTCTATCGTTGCACTCAGCATGTGTTGCAGTGCTTTGGTTCAAAAGACGTGAAATAAAAAGCGCCCTTCCATAAAAAAAAAGTGTCTCACACGGCTCCGGGGGGTGAACAAAGGCCTCCTGTAGCGAATCGATGCGTTTTTGTAAGAAAAATATCCATATTCAAAACGTAATAATCACTTGAATCTAGCTTGCGCTCACTGTTGTAAACGGAAGCAGTTCCGGGGGAATTACGTATCATTTGAGAGATAGGTGGTGGTAATGCACTTATAAGTCTGCGATCTGCTGTAAAGCAAGAAGAAGAAGAAGAAGAAGAAGACACGTCACGCGCTGGCTGTTGAGAACGCGCTCAGGACAGTTCGGACTGCAACGGTTTGAGTTTAAAATCTTCGTTTGTGTTCTACTGAAGAAACAAAGTTACCTACATCTTGGATGCCCTGGGGTAAGGATATAAACATAAAATTTTCATTTTTGGGTGAACTATCCCTTTACCCAGCCTGCAACACTCGAAAGAAGGTTTCAGCAGAAGCGTCCCAGCAAAATTGACACACTTGGAATGGATTAACGAACAGCAGTTAATCCATTTTGCAATCTAGTTTATAAAGAAGGGATGACTGCAGTGCGCTGAGCTGTAAACCAGCAGGAGACATTTTCAGGTCAGCGTCTTCTGCTGATAAGTGACTCTTTCTGTGTTCAGTGTTCGCGCCTGCATGACGCTTTACCCAGAGTCCTCAGCATGTGCGGACCTGCTGAACGGGAAGCTCTGGAGCTCATCCAGGTCTTAATATCCTGTCTCTGATTTTCTTTTTTTCTTTTTTGTCTATTTCCATTCAATTCTACTAAATTTAATTTTTATAGTGCCATCTCTTCCTTGTGTCTGATTTCTTTAATTCTCATACCCTAAAAGATGGATAATTGTTCAAACAATCAAGTAAATTTCAATAAATCTGCAGTGTGCTAACAAAGATACTCCCTGCAACTGAATATGCATACTTCTCTACTATATATGCAAAATGTATTAAAATGAGTAGGGTGTCTGAATATGCAGTATTCTTGATACAATATAAGCAAAAATGTATAATAAATAAATTTGGTTAAAAAAAAAACCTACATTTCGCTAAATAAATAGTTTAAAATTAAAAACGTTTTCGCTAAATGAACCAGTGTTGTTATTGTTAACTAAAACTATTAAAAATTATTTTTTTAAAATGGAATAAGCTGACAAAAATCAATATTAGATGACAAACTTAAATTAGAAATGCCTTTGCAACTAACTGAAATAATAAGTTGAAGTACTACATTGACAAAGCACATAACAAAATTGCTAAAACAAATTAGTGAAAATATTAAAAAAAACATTCAAAATACTAATAAATAGTATGTAATCTAATATAATATAATATAATATAATATACGTAATATAAACACAAATATTAAAAAAAAACTAATTCAAAATGCTAATAAATAGTATGTAATCTAATATAATATAATATAATATAATATAATATACGTAATAAAAACACAAATATTTACCTTCATATATTTTTCACAAAAATGCCTTATACATTAGAAGTCAGTAAGAGTGGGGACACAAACGATTCATTAAATCAGATTTTATTTAAAAAAAAATTTTTTAAATAAACAGAAATTATTTATAGAATGATTTGAACTTTGAACACTTTTTGCTGTTTACGTTAAAGCAACATTGTGAATATTATTTTAAAACCATTTTAATTTAGCCAGTAAATTTCAAAATAAAAAAGGGCATGTTATTCGATTAGTATTATAAAAATTTCCGTTCAAATTACTCCGAATGAATGCGTTGTGAAGTTCTGAATGCTAAATGCATAGTTATTTAATAAAACATGATGCCAGGTGACTCATAAATGTTGCATACTGAATCATACACACACAGAGTCTCTAACCTTTCCCCTCATGATATTTAGTGAGCAGTATGCTTAAGGTCACATTAAAAGTCATGCTGCCGTCTCTTCCAGCTTCACACATGCTTCTGAAGGATCGCATGAAATGTGGTAAAATGTTTATCAGCAATATATATACAGCTACTTTAAAATCATATTAAGATTCATCAAAACAATTCTCGCATACAAATATCAGCAATTATGATGAACAATATTTAATGGGCCAATCATCCATCACGAGGCAGGGCCGCTGTCACTGCTGCAACCCTGTCATCGTGATGAGATATGGCAATTACTTTAACCCTCTGGGGTCCGAGGGTGTTTTGGGGCCCTGGAAAAGTTTTGACATGCCCTGACATTTGTGCTTTTTTCAGTTGCTTATAAACATTTTAATGGCTTATAAAAATTTTAACATTTTAAATCTGGACAGCTTAACCTCAGTGTCACATATACTAGCTGCCCACTGGGATTTGGGTTTAGAGACCAACAATGTGTGAGAAATGCCATTACTGACCTGTTTTGATTGATAGTTCTGTTCTAATATACAAGTGTACAGGCTGCAAGCACATTTGCATACATACACACACACACACACATATGCAGATACATACACCGTTCATTGGATCATGCTAAATGATTTGGCTGTAAGAGGCTCATGGTTTCTGCTATCTCGTTAACCCTTTTCACGAATGAGCATATCTGTGTATTTACCCATTTACTCCTCATTCACTCATAATCTAGTGGCATTTGAAAGTATGTATGTGTGTGATCAATTTACAGATTTAATCCAGCAGCTCTAGATGCGTTCTGATGGGAATTTGTGTGTTTTTATGGAATGTGTGAGGTCTCAAGTTTAACCAGTGCTGAACCACATAAACATACTGCAGCTTACTGCAGATGTATGCACATATTCTATATACATATATATAGAGAGAGAGAGAGAGAGAGAGAGAAATTTAAGATTTATGTATTTGGATTTCATATAAAATTCCCATCAATTTGGAATACACGGTTTTAACATAAGCAAACTAATAATCATACACACTTTCTCTTTATAGCACTGTCCTGACCTATGTTCACATAACGTAAATGCAAGTGGGCTGGTCCCTTTCACCATTGGAAAAATGTGGGCCGCTGTTGAGCTCGGGAGGGCAGCGTCACTCTGCCCCTCTTAGTACGATCACAACCAATCTGTCTGCTGAATCCATGCACTAAATTTCAATAGATCCATCTCACTTCACAACTTAAAATAGTCTAGAAATGCTGAATAATGCAGAACACATTTACAAGTTTAGGACTGATTCAGTTTTTTCTATACAGTTCAATGTTTTCAAGTGGATTAATCTTTTAGTGCGGCACTGGCTCACCTGCCCATAAAGTAGACGAGCTGTTTCATTTGTGTATGCCTGATTATGCATCACATTACGTTTATTAGTTTGTTTAAAACTATATGATGTTTTATTAACATGGTTCGGGAGGCGCACGATCAGATAATCAATCAGTCTGGCCCAGGTGGCGCTCGTCAGCTAATCACCTTAACAAGCACATACGTGTATATATACAGCCAACTTACCTCAGTTCCACGAAAGTTTTCCAGCATTCGGTTTTGCTCCTTTAGCCATTATATCACAGACTCAACTTTTTCCGTACGACGGCGAGACCTGTACTGGGGATCTTTCGTATCCTCCGTCGCAATCTGCCGGCACTAGGCTCACTCCTTTTCCGCCAGTCACCTCCGCCGAGCTTCATCGCGGCCGTCGCTCGGCTCGACCAGCCATACGCTCTCCACAACACCGTGGCTTAACCTCGCTTCCACCGGCGAGACTTCCAACTTCCCCGACATCCTCGTATCATTCGGCCATGCCAATATATCCTCAGATCGGAAAGTGGATAGTATTGAAGGCGGAAGCAAACACTGATTTTTTTTTTCCCGACGAACCATTCTCACGGAGGGTAAACAAAGCTGATCTGTACGATCTATTCGTCATCCTGCAAATCAGCTAAGGCGGCCAATAGATCGAGTAAAGCCTCGAACTCGCCCATTCGACACTATCATTATCCCGCACAAGACCCGGCTCTCCTCGAGCTTTGGGTCGCAGCGGTTCTTAAACGAGCCTGGGCCGCACCCCAGTTCTCACTGCAGCAAAACCTCATTCGCTCCCCGCTTCGGCTCAACTTTTCACCGAGGCTCTTCCGGCCGCAGCGCCACATGTAGCCGGGCCTTCAGCTCACGTAGCAGTTGCTAGTGTGAGACTGCCTCCGCTAGCACCGCAGGCCTTGTTGCAATAATATTAAGTAAAGTCGCTAAAGGTAGGTCGTTTGTTGTTAAAGGACGTGATGACATTATGGATGTTGATGTCATTTTTTGTAACCAAGACGCAAAACTGCGTAGAACACTCAATGAAATTACTCAGATTTTCTGTATTTTGCTGTTTCAATACTTACTACTAATTGTGTGGTTAAGAGGAAAAGCATGTCTTTTTGTAATTTTATGATGTTGTCAAAATCATCATATTTCTCCTGCTACTTCTAACCTCTCCCTTTTCAGTGGTCTCCAGCTACCGTAGCACACTAGCACGAGGCTGCCTCTGCAAGCTGTGCAGGCTGCACAGGCTCTCCAGCATTTTCCCCCCGAATATCACAAGCCCCGTGGCCTACAGCTACAACAGCTGAAACAAGCACAAAGCTGCTTACGCTTGCAACATATGCCCTCACATCTCAGTCTTTCCTCCTGTTACTTATAATCCTTTTTCCTTTTCAGTAGCCTTCAGCTCCTATAGCACACACTAGCGTGAGGCTGCCTCTGCTAGCGGTGCAGGCTGCACAGGCTCTCCAGGATGTCACAAACCCCACTCCCTTCCCGTGGCCTACAGCAGCTGAAGGAAGCATGAGGCTGCCTCCGCCTCTGTTTCTAATGACCCCTTTTTTCTTTTTAGTGGCCTCCAGCTCCCATAGCAGACACTAACCCGGAAGCCGATTTAAACATCAGGCTGCCTCGGCTGACAATTGCAGCCCATGCACCTCTTCCTCATAGCTCCCCACTTCATTCAAAATTACGTTGTCTTCCAGATCAAGTTCCGGCTCCCCTCGAGCTTCAAGACGCAGCAGGCCGTCAGCAAGCCTGGGCCGCGCCCCAGACTCAGCTGCTCCTCACACTGCTCTGCCTCACTCCTCTTCTCAACCAATCACTGCGGCGCCTTCAGCTACAGCGCTGCACGCAACGTTGCCTGCTGGCGTAGCTTCCCAAACTCCTATCCTTCCCCCTCCTTTCTACCTCCGGCGGCAGACGTTAGCGTGAGGCTGCCTCCGCTAGCCATTCAAGCTCAGCCACCTTACTCTTACCCTTCCGCTACTCCTTTTTCCTATCAATGGCCAGCAGCCCCTGCTGCAGACGTCCAAGCAGGGCAGCATCAGCCAGCAACGCAAGCTTACTGGCCTCCTCCCTCATTTCCTTCTACCTCTTCCTACGTGCTTCCCTAAGCACCAGAGGCTAATCAGTGCGTGAGGCTGCCTCCACAAAAGGTTACGGCCCCTCCTTATTTTACCTTCTAACCCTTCTCTCCAACCTAAACCTCAGTACACATGATTTAAAGCTTTCCACCTCTCGTACAACCTGCCATTTCCCGATTTCTCCCTCCTCTCAATCACATCTTTCGTTTCCTACCTTAACACCTGTGAGATCCTCCAAGCCCGGTCAATCAAAGGTTATCTAAGCGGCATTCAATTATTATTTTTTTTTTCTTCACAAATTAATCTACGGTGCCCCCTCTCCTGAAATAAACCATTCTCAAACATCTTTTGATCAAAGGAATTCAGTGCTCTCATTCTCCAAGCCTGGACGCTAGACAGCCGATAACTTTCGACATCCTTTCTAAATGTATCCACATTCTCCCCACAGGGTACCACTCACTCCATACCGCTCGTAGACTCGACGCTATGTTCATACTGGCTTTTTGTGGTTTCCTGAGATGCTTGGAATTCACAATAACTTCTATTCAACCCCAAACTCCATCCAACCGTCTCCAACCTTTCCGTGCTTGACAGCGAAA